ACGCGGCGCCGTTCCGCGCCGCCGGCGGCGGCGTCGCCGCGGACGTCGACGTCTCGTCTCTCGCGGCCGTCGAGCCGGCGACGCGGTCCTTCTGGGACGCGTCGTCGGCGACGATCGCCGCGGCCGCGTCGCACCCGTTTTTGGTGGCCATGGTCGACGGGAGCCTCCCCATGGCCAAGTTCCGCTACTACGTCGAGCAGGACTCGCTCTACCTCAAGGACTTTGGCGACGCGCTGCGCCTCCTCGCGACCAGGGCGCCGACGCGCGACGCGGCCGCGCGGCTCGACGGCTTCGCCGCGGGCGCCGACGGCGCGGAGCGGGCGCTCCACGCGTCCTTTTTCGCGGGCTGGGGCATCAAAGACGGCGCCCTGCCGCGGCAGGCGCCCCACACCCTGCTCTACACGTCGTACCTCCTCCGGGTCTGCGCGACGCGCCCGTACGCGGAGGGCGTCGCCGCGCTCCTGCCCTGCTTCTGGGTCTACGCGCACGTCGGCGACGCCATGCTCGCCCGGCGGACCCGGGAGCCGACGGAGCGGCCGCCCCAGTTCGACGCGTGGATCGACATGTACGGCGGCGACGCGTTCCACGCCGCGGTCCGCGACTACCGCGCGCTCGTCGAGGACGCCGCGCGCGCGGACCCGGCCGCGACGCCGCGCATGGCCGAGCACTTCGCGACGGCCTGCGACCTCGAGAACATGTTCTGGACCCAGGCCCTCGACGGGCTCGCCTGGCCCTAAGAAGCTGCTAATTGCGCCCGGCGCCGCGGGGTCGGGGGGTGAGGCGCTAGGCCTCGGAGACGTCGTCGAGCCCGAGGTCGTCCTCGTACTCCTCCTCCTCTTCCTCCTCCTCGTCCTCGTCGTCGCGCGAGCCCTCGACCTCCTCGTCGTGGTCGTCCGTCGCCGTCGCGTCGTCGTCGTCGTCCGCGCGCGGCTTCACGCCGATGGGCGTCGGCGCGGGCGCGTCGCGGATCGCCGCGAGCTGGGCGCGCTGCTCCTCCTCGAGGCGCGCGAGCTCCTCCATCTCCGTCGCCTCGACGAGGCTCAGCGTCGCCCGGTGCGTCGGCTCCGCCAGGAGGTGCCAGACGTTGAAGTTGTGGCTCCGGAAGGCCATCGCGGGCGGCGGCCGCGGCGGCGCGGCGGCGCGGACGGCTCGGGGGTGTTGGGTGGGAGCGGCGGCGCGGGGTCCTCCGTGGGTGGCGCGCGCGGCCGCCGCCGACAAGCTTGACTGAGAGCTCGTCTGCGAGGTCAATGTTGAGCACATGTTGAGCATCAGCAGCCCGGCCTCCGAAGCACCGCCATCCAAGTCGACGACGAGAACAGGCAGCCCGAGGCGCCCGAGAGGATGAAGAAGGCGACGAAGAAGAGCCACGGGCTCACGGTGACGTTCACGGGCGTCGAGGACAAGACCGAGGGCGACAAGAAGTACAACGTCTACAATCTGTCCGTCGCCAAGGAGGGCGCGTCCTGGACGCTGCAGAAGCGGCGCGTCCGGCGGCGCCGCGCGGGCGCCGCGCCGCGGCATGGCGACCCCCGCCGCGCAGGTACTCGGACTTCCTCTTCTTCCAGACGCACCTCGACAAGAAGATCTACGGGAACATGTCGTCGCCGCGCGTCGCCCCGCGCCCGCCGACCGCCCGGCCGCCCGGCGCCGCGACGCGCGGCCCGCAGGTTCCCGGCCAAGCAGCTCGGCCAGCTGTCGGCGGACCAGATGGCGTCGCGACGGGACGGCCTCAAGGCCTGGTTCGACGAGTTCCTCGCCATGGCCATCACGCCGCGGGTCCTCCAGCAGACGTGCTCGCGAGTCCCGGCGCTTCGCTAGACATGGCCACCCCGTGAGACACGCTCCGACAGATCGCCGCTCGACGGGCATCGCGACGCGCCGAGAGATCGCCGCTCGACGGGCATCGCGACGCTCCGAGAGATCGCCGCTCGTCCCACGCGTCGAGGGGACGCGCGCGCCCCGCGCAGGTTCCTCCGCGTCGCCGAGCACGCGGCGTCCGCGTCGGACGCGCGCGACACCGTGCGCAAGGAGACGGGCTCCATCATCAAGACGGGCTACCTCGAGAAGCTCGGCGGCAACAAGCAGGGCGCCGCGGGCAACTGGAAGCGCCGCTTCATGGTCCTCAGCGACAACCTCGAGTACTACGAGTCCGAGGAGAAGTACCAGAACGGCGCCGCGCCCAAGAACAAGGTCTCCATGAACGCGACCTACTGCCCGACGCCCGTGCCCAACGAGAAGAACCAGTTCTCCCTCTTCGCGCTGCCCTTCGAGTTCACGGTCCGCGCGGACTCCAAGGAGGACATGGACGAGTGGGTCCACATCTTCCAGAACATCCAGTCCATGTGAGCCGCGCGCGCGCGCGACGCCCCCCCGCCGCGGCGCGCCGCTTATCTGCGCTTCCGGCACAGCGTCGTGCCGTCGCCGACGGGCAGCATGACCACGCTGACGCGGTCGTCGCCGTGGATGGCCGCGTTGAGATTCCGCAGGGCCACGGTGTCCTCGTCGACGCACTGGTCGTCGGCGACCTGGCCGTTCCAGAGGACGTTGTCGATCACCAGGAGGCCGCCCGGCCTGAGCAGCGCGAGCGCGCGCTCGTAGTAGGCGCCGTAGTTCCCCTTGTCCGCGTCGACGAAGCACAGGTCGAAGCTCGCCGGTTCCAGCCCCGCGAGGGTCGCGAGCGCGTCGCCGAGGCGCAGGTCGATGCCGTCCGCGACGCCCGCCTGCGCCCAGAACGGCGCGCCGACGCGCGCC